GAATGCCTTGAGGTAAGGGAAGAACTTAATGAGTTACTGCAAGAGCTTGAGAAAGGCTCTCACATCCATGAAATTGACGATGCTATTCATTTCCACGAGGAAGAACTGTGCAGAAAGCTTACGTCTTACTTGAGATCTGAAGAAGTTCAGAAAAAATTTTGCGATTGGTCCGAAAAGGACTTGCCTGTTATTGGTCATCGTCATAGTTCCCGAAGGATCAAATCCGAACTTGGTAAATGCATAGATCGAAGATTACATTCTTTGCTTAAAAGCGTGGAAAATAAAGAAAAACATTTCGCGAAAGCTCGTGCAGACCTGGAGAAAAAACGTCTCCAATATTTCTCTGATCTTCAAAAGGGCATTTGTGACATTGACCGTGTTCTTGACTCAGAGGATCAGTCTGTTCCCTTTGAATTGCACTCTGGAAGGATGTGTTTGCCTTTATACGCAAGAATGAAAAAGATGATTGTGGCAGCTGGTGTAGTTTTTATGCCAGTGTTGATTCCTGTTGGTTTAGCTGCAGGAGCTCTCTTTGCACCCGCTTTCGGTTATATGGCCGTCGCAAAGTATCTCAAGGAACATCAGCTCAGGGAAGATCCTTGTAAAGCTTTAAAAGAACTTTCCCCACAGTTTCTAAAGTCTTTCATTAAAGAAAGTCTACGGGATCATGTCCAAAGAGAACTAGCTAACGAAAAAAATCAAATTTCCCAAATAAAGAGATGCCATTCAGCGATCATCAGTAAATACGATCAGCAATGTGAGGCTTTCAGGAGGATAGCAGATGAATCAGGAAATGAAGAAGCCCTGGAAGAGAAGGCCCTGGAAGAGAGGGCCATGGTCGACCTGTCTTGGGAACTGCGGATTATGAGGGACAACCTTTTGTTTGACGCCATCCAAAACGGAGTACCAATCATGTACCCGTCTGGCCAAATCGATGGCAAAAAGCTTTCTTGCAATATGGAAGAAGTGCTAGGAATAGGAAGCTCAGCCAAAGTCTTCAAGGGAACACTAAAAGGACAGAGTGTTGCTGTAAAAAGGCTACAACAAGAGCTTCATCCACATAGTGTTGCTCGGTTTCTTGAAGAAGCAGGAATATTAAGGTATGAGTGTCTGGATAGCTAAACAGATAGTAAGACAGTCAAACAACTGCACACACTGACTTAGGAAATTTTCCTGG